CGCTCATGGTCGGCTCGGTCAAGCGGATCCGGGAGGCGGCGGCCGGCGGGATCAACGGGTAGGGCTGGCGTTATGATAGTGCGTTTCCTTTTTTTCTTTTTTTATTATAGCGAGCGGTTTTGGTGTCGCACCCGGGATGTATGGGAGCGAGCGGCTTTGGTGTCACACCTGTGGACGGAATAGTTATGAATGTTTTAGTTGTAGAGAAGCGCAGCTGGGTCAATTTTATATTGTCAAGATCATGCATGCTCCTTGCTCTTAAACTACGCGAGATTTGATTCTCCATTTTTTGGGTGATTTCTGGTGGAAACTGCACAACCAACAGACAAGCCAAAGCGAAAGTGATGCATGCATCTCTCCCTACATCGTTTTTCGACCGTTGTGGGCATAAACAACATGTTCGCTTAGTCGTATTTGGCTTATAAGCTATGGCTTATCGGCCAACGAATAGTATTTTTCTCTCACAATAAGTCAGCGAATAATACTTTCAGCCATGGCTTATAAGCCAAACAAACCAAAACGAGAAGAGCAAAAATTGACAGTATTTTTAAGCATAGCAGTATACTAGGGCCTCGTTATAAGTACACATATGACAACACACTCACATGGACTCGTGTCTGGTGTACAGACACGTATGAGGGGGCGTTTAGTTTCACCAAAATCCAAACTTTGGCATTATGTAAAAAGAAGATTTCCTGTTACATCAAACTTGCGGTACATGCATAGAGTACTAAATGTTGACGAAATCAAAAACTAATTGCACAGTTTTGTCGTACTTTGCGAGACGAACGTTTTGAGCCTAATTAGTTAACGATTGGACAATAATTTACAAATACAAACGAAACGCTACAATGTGCTACAGTGCTGTGATTTTGGTTGTCCAAAATCGGGCAACTAAGGCCCCGTTTAGATCCAAAAATTTTTGGATTTTGGCTCACTGTAGCATTTCGTTTGTATTTAGTAATTAGTGTCTAATTATGGACTAATTATGTTCAAAAGTTTCGTCTCGCGATTTCTCACCCAACTATGCAATTAGTTTTTTTCGTCTATATTTAGTACTCCATACATGTGCCGTAAGATTCGATGTGACGGATACTGCGTAAAATTTTTTGAAATCTAAACAGGCCCTAAACAAGGGCTGAGTATAACAAGGCAAACAATCAGCTCATGATGTGTTGACAGTATGGATGAAAACGGTACGGATATTTATTCGACCGTCCGTTCGACCGAACAAATATGAACACTTATTCGGATAGTTACTCGGATATCCGGTTTTTTTTTCGGATACGGATACTAAAACGGATATCTTAGGCGGATATCAAATACGGATGTAATATCATCGATATCCGGCGGATATCGGATAATCCGGATAAGTATCGGATATATCCGGATATTTAAAAACGGATATTATCCGGATATTTATTCAAAATTTAAAAATCACAAATTTGAACCATCCAAACTATCTCAAATGGAAAGTTAACCAAAACAACAATGGTAGATCTTGATGAGTTGAACAAACTTGGTATTCAAAACTTTTCAATTTGAAGTCATTTAGAGTTCATAATACTAGAGTCAAAGTGTTGTTTTTTCATTTGACCAAATTTGACTTGGTCAAACTTGCTCAAATGAGACACTAAATGACCTCAGATGAAAAAACTTTGAATACCAAGTTTGATCATCTCAGCAAGATCTACAATTGTTACATAGCTCATTTTTCCATTTGAGAAAGTTTTATCAAACACTAGTCATAAATTCTTGAATCTCATATAGACTTTCTGAAACTATGTCACACACTTGTGAAATTTGAACTATATTTTATTCAAACTTTCTCAAATGAAAAAATGGCCTATATAAGGATTGTATATATTGATGAGATGAACAAATTTGGTATTCAAAACTTTTCAATTTGAGACAATCTAGGGTTCCGAAAACTAGTTTGTACACGTCGAAATTTAAAAATCACAAATTTGAACCATCCAAACTATCTCAAATGGAAAGTTGACCAAAACAAAAATTGTAAATCTTGATGAGTTGAACAAACTTGGTATTCAAAACTTTTCAATTTGAAGTCATTTAGAGTTCATAATACTAGAGTCAAAGTGTTGTTTTTTCATTTGACCAAATTTAACTTGGTCAAACTTGCTCAAATGAGACACTAAATGACCTCAGATGAAAAAACTCTGAATACCAAGTTTGATCATCTTAGCAAGATATACAATTGTTACATAGCTCATTTTCCCATTTGAGAAAGTTTTATCAAACACTAGTCACAAATTCTTGAATCTCATATAGACTTTCTGAAACTATGTCACACACTTGTGAAATTTGAACTACATTTTGTTCAAACTTTCTCAAATGAAAAAATAGCCTATATAAGGATTGTAGATCTTGATGAGCTGAACAAACTTGGTATTCAAAACTTTTCAATTTGAGACAATCTAGGGTTCCGAAAACTAGTTTGTAAGCATCGAAATTTAAAAATCACAAATTTGAACCATCCAAACTATCTCAAATGGAAAGTTGACCAAAACAAGAATTGTAGATCTTGATGAGTTGAACAAACTTGGTATTCAAAACTTTTCAATTTGAAGTCATTTAGAGTTCATAATACTAGAGTCAAAGTGTTGTTTTTTCATTTGACCAAATTTGACTTGGTCAAACTTGCTCAAATGAGACACTAAATGACCTCAGATGAAAAAACTCTGAATATCAAGTTTGATCATCTCAGCAAGATCTACAATTTTTACATAGCTCATTTTCCCATTTGAGAAAGTTTTATCAAACACTAGTCACAAATTCTTGAATCTCATATAGACTTTCTGAAACTATGTCACACACTTGTGAAATTTGAACTACATTTTGTTCAAACTTTCTCAAATGAAAAAATAGTCTATATAAGGATTGTAGATCTTGATGAGCTGAACGAACTTGGTATTCAAAACTTTTCAATTTGAGACAATCTAGGGTTCCGAAAACTAGTTTGTAAGCATCGAAATTTAAAAATCACAAATTTGAACCGTCCAAACTATCTCAAATGGAAAGTTGACCAAAACAAGAATTGTAGATCTTGATGAGTTGAACAAACTTGGTATTCAAAACTTTTCAATTTGAAGTCATTTAGAGTTCATAATACTATAGTCAAAGTGTTGTTTTTTCATTTGACCAAATTTGACTTGGTCAAACTTGCTCAAATGAGACACTAAATGACCTCAGATGAAAAAACTCTGAATACCAAGTTTGATCATCTCAGCAAGATATACAATTGTTACATAGCTCATTTTCCCATTTGAGAAAGTTTTATCAAACACTAGTCACAAATTCTTAAATCTCATACAGACTTTCTAAAACTATGTCACACACTTGTGAAATTTGAACTACATTTTGTTCAAACTTTCTCAAAATGAAAAATGGCCTATATAAGGATTGTAGATCTTGAATCCATGACCATGACTCCATGAGACCCATGAAGCAATGTGCTTGGCTATTTCTACTCATGCCGCGAAGATTAGTGCTTATATGATGTTTGATGTATGATGTATCTGTATCTTTATCTTATTTGTTGCTTTACTCTTTAGTCTTTCGGCTTAATCTAGATGGATTATGGACTCATAGAGTGGTGTAATGGTTTGCGCACGTATGATATATATATATATATATAGCTTTTACTCAATATCCGAATAGATATTTGTATCCGACCTTCTCCGAATCCGATTCATACCGTATTCGATACTCATTATTCGTATCCGTAACCGAGTCGATCCGTATTCGTATATGTATCCGAACGCTATCCGTGTCCGAATCCGAATCCGAACATAAATATGAAAACAAATATAATATAAGTGATATCCGTTCGTATCCGATCCGTTTTCATCCCTAGTTGACAGTGCTGTGAGCCTGTGACGACAGTGAAAGCAAACTGCTGACTTGACATGGGCTTGGTACGCGTCACCTCGAACGGCATTGCTGGCTTGCTGCAAGGACAGTGCACATGATGTGCGCTGTTCGTGCTGCGCCCGCCACGTACGCCGAGCCGTCGAGGCTTGATCGTCAGCCGGGCCACCTGGACCTTGACGCGAAAGATGTTGCTCTTCGGGACACAGGGACCCGCGGAACAAGGCCTGCCGGCCGGCCAGCGAGTCCGGCTCCGAGGCCGGCGCGCACCGCACCGCGCCCACCGTCCACCGGCGGCTGCCGAGGTTCAGGTTCCTCCCCCTCTCCACGCGCGCGGCCTCGGTACTCCAAAAAAACATCGTTGCCGACTAGCTCGTCGGGACGCGTAGTCCGGTTCACGCCGGCCGATCCGCCAGCTGACACACAAAACCCAACGGAACAGCATCCAAAGTCCCAGACACAAAGTACTAGAGTAATCTTGTCAGCACCAGCAGGAGTTCATTCCTGGAGGCAGCGCATCTTGTTCGCTGCCGCTGGAGAGGAGCTAGCTCCTCCATCCATCGCTAATCATGAGTTCATCCCCTTTGGAGGCAAAAGCTACTAGGTCGAGTAGCCACGAAGAGTGGTTGGAATGGAGCCAGCCATTATATTTATTTTCTCCAATGTTTCGTGCATTATCCTACCCAAAAAAAAAAGCAGAAAACACCACACCTACTCTACTCTGCTCTGCACTCGACGGCGCCGATCGGCTTACCTTATATTCGACTTGTTTTTTCAGTTAAAATAGTATCTTTTCTTTTGTCTTGTTCTTTTACACCAATTCAACCCATTTTCGGCGATCCGAACGAGGCTACACTGCCCCCGACGTATTTTATTCGCGCAACCACGTCCGGACCACATGGCACGAACGGGAAACCGCGCGCTGCCCACTGTCACGTACCGCTCCCCGCTTTCGTTCCACTCATTCCACTGCTCAACTCCCAATAAATCACACGGTCACTCTACCGCGGCACCACCATTTCACCACCCATCCCCTCCGGTTTCCACCGCTGGAACTCCGCGTCTCCAAGATCCATTCGGCACGAACCAGTGAGTCAGTGACGACTGCGATGGCGGATGCCGGCAGCAGCGCCGCCGCCGCTTCGGCCGCGAGGAGGGCCCCGTCGACGTCGACGTCCTCACCGGGGTGCCGCGGGGGGCGCGGGTGCGCGCCGGCGCTGGGGCGGCTGGTGCGGAAGCTGCGGCGGCAGAGCAGACTGCTGTGCGCGGCGCGCCACGGCGCCGCGTCGTCGTCGTCGTCGGCCGCGCGGTGCTGCCACCAGTACGACCCGCTCAGCTACTCGCGCAACTTCGACTTCGGCACCGCGTTGGACGGCAACGAGGCCTGCTCCTTCGCCTCCCGCTTCGTGCTCGCCGCCTCCGCCGCGCGGCAGCCGCAGTAGATCAGATTCGTTCCCGCTTCGGGAGCTAGCTAGCTAGCTAGGGGGCTGCAAGAACTGGTGGCGCGTCAGCCATTTGCGGCAGCTGATAGCTAGGTGGTAGTAGAGAGTTTTTAGGCAGGCGCGTGGTGTTCTTGTACAACTAAGCTTGTGTTGTAGCTGGTGAATGTGTTTATATGCTGAGAGGTGGTGAATGGTGATGGTTGTAAGAATTTCCCGCCGTCCCTTGACTCCTCTTCCTTACTGTGGCTGGGTCTGGGAGATGAGGAGGAGGAATCGGCCAAGAGGAAATGTTTTAAGTAATTTCGAAAGATTACACGCTTATTAATGCTGGTTCATCTACATCCCCTCCATCGGCCGGCTCTTGAGTTTTTTCGTGTGTTAAGTTGTTGGAATTTATTTGTTTTACACGATACTTTTGCAGATCCTTCCTTGGCCCTTTTCCGGATTAGCATCCTGGTCACTGGTCAGTGCTAATTGGCAGTGACCTGTTAGTCTACAGGACAATTTGCTACTCCAGTGACTGACGCAGGGATGCACGGCGAGATGGGGCTGCACAGGCAACAGCATGGGTGGGCTGGTGGCGACCGGCATGACGGAAGCTAGCTGCAAGATGGGGGAGAGGCTGGCAACGTTTGATTGCATCCGGTGAGTTGTTGGTGCCAGTACAATTATTGTTCGCTCGCTGTCGTTGCCCCTGCCACTGCGGACTGACTCGCCGCAGTCACGGTCACCCCACCGCTGCGCCTGCGCTGCACCACCGTGATTATTCGCATCCAAGAAGACTGCCCCGCGTGCCCCACGAGATGGATGATGCATGCACCGATCAATGGCGAGGCGCGGCACTGCAGCAGCCCAGTCAGGAGTAGTTGGGTGTATGGAAGGCAACCGACACATTACGCGTGGTAGAGGGTTTACAAACCATTATCCGCGAGGCAAACCCTGTGTTCGCACCCGTGACCTGTCATGCGCACGAAATTAAATCTGCACCCGTCACCCGTGCGGCACAGTGTATCCACGGGCACACCCGTGCCCGTCAGCCAGATCACAAATGCACAGTTCACAATCACAAACCTGTACAGATCACAGATCCAATGCACAACAGCACAAGTTCATAAATAACAGTTCACAGCAGCAGGCCCACATGTCAGGCGGGTTCGCGGGCACAAATAAGGTATTTTTATACCAGCAAATTTTTTACCTATGGGCACAAAATCAAACCCGTACCCATGCCCCGTAGATATAAAATGGTACCCGTATCCTTACCGTAACAGGTTTTTAGCCACGGGCACGAGGTAATTTGTACCCGTTGCCATCCCTGGGTGATCGTACTATTGCGCCTTTGCTCTGCATACGGGCTCACGGAGCCTGAGCACCAAGGGTAAAAAAAAAGAAAGAAAGCAGCTCCACCTCTTTAAATGGCTGTGGCTCCTCTATTTCACACTAGAAGTATTTCTGCATCCGTGGTCATTTGGTGCATCTTCTTTAAATCCGGTGTCAGAGCTGCTGGCGGAACCGGAGACGGAGCCCAAGTCGCACTAACCTGGCCCTTATTTTGCCATGTTTAAGCTAGGTCTTGTTTTGGAGAGAGGATTTTTTTTTCATGTTTCTGTATTTTTTTAAAAATAAATCCAATTGATTCCTCTAAAGCTCTAATTCATCGCAAGATTTCCTTCTTTCTTGCCACGATACGGGCTAGTTGTTTGGCAACGTATCAGGTGCAAACCAATCAACCTGTACAAACTTGAAAAATACCAATCAGGACCATTGGATGCTGATCCAATGGATGAGGTGAGAGGTAGGATTTTTTTGCGCTTAAACCCCCCACCCGCCGGTCTTTTTTTTTTGCGCTTAAGCCCCCTCACTATATCCGTTGGATCAGCATCTAGTGGTTCTGATTGATAGTTTCTAAGTTTGCATAGGTTGGTTGGTTTGCACCTGATATGTTTGCCTAGTTGTTTAGAACTTTAGATTACGGTGCAAGCTGAAGATTATTCGTCCATTGAACTTTCAAGCCCACACCTCTATGCCTAAATGGACCTACTGCTGCAGTTGGACACTCCCGTTTTGGGCCGAAAAGGATGTTCCTTTTTTTCCACCCATATGCCCGCGTAAAGTTGTTTCTAAAGTTTGTTAGCCCGTTCTGCATTAAGCCCATAATTGTTTGGTAGGTTTGGGAAGGCCTCGGCCCAAATTATGGACAACACAGGAGAGCATCTGACGGATACGATTCCTCTCAAAAAAAAAAAAAATCAGACGGATATGAACATAATAAGTTTGTTAAAAGTGGACTCAGTGTTCCTGATCTAAAGGTTCAAACGATGCTATGCTACCCAAAAATCTGCACAATATGTTATGATATCTTAATTTTGACCAACAAAAAAGGCATCCACATTAATCAGAGAAAATATAATTAAAATACCCCGCTACGTACCAATGAATTACCAATCACTATAGTGACGTAAAAAATGACCCATAAATATCCTTATATATATTCCTTTATTACCAACTCATGTCACTATTAAAAATAGCTTCTATGTTCGCCAAGTGATTGGATCTTTATTTTGGAATAAAAAGAGATATAAAGTTGCAATTCAAATTATCTTTTGAATCGAATAAAATTGAAAAATAAACATAGTTTAATATAAGAGTTTAGAAAGTAAACATAAAAAAGTTCACAAGACTCGGTAACATGGAAATTAAGGAAGATGTTTACAGGTAATGTGAAAATTAAAGAAGATATTTACGGGTGTTTGGAACTGCTCCACGATCTCTACTCCACAAACTCCACCGTGGAGTAGCTCCACAGAAAACTCCACCTTTTTTTCATGCAACATTGTTGCGTGGAGTACTTGCAGATGATGGTAGAACGGAAATTTCAAAAGGTAAGGAGTGAAACAAGATGGCGTATGTGTTAGCCCATTTAGCTAGGCGAAATATTCTGCTAAGCACCTGCGTGTGCCCTTGATCTCGTGAAAGAAGATTGTAATATCTTGCCTGGGTAATATAAGCTCTCTTTTACCCCGAAAAAAAAAGAAACTCTTACATGACTTGCACTAAGTCTATCTCTCGGTCCCTAAAAAGAATCTCTCTCTTTGCTGCAGACTTGCAGTCTAGTGGCAGACTCGTCTAATCTGCTGGTTCCAGGTGACCAAGGCTAACAAGAAGCGACGTAGTTGGCATACTATCTTTTATTTGCATCGAGTAATAAGCAAGAACATGGACAGCGACAATAAGCCCCCTTTAAAAAGGAAACGTATTCAGATCAGCGTGCAATAATTGCAAGCCCAAATATTCCAATTCCAAGGAATTGCACGTCGCGGAGCACACAATGCGGGTCGATCACATGCTTCCTGCCAAACACCCTGTCATTTCTGATTTTCTGCGGGGAAAACTCAATCCAAACATTCAAAATAATGAAGTCAGCGACCTCTAGTTTGATGTAAACGCCCTAAAAAAAAGGCTTGTTACGTGAAGTCAGAAAAAACGATGAAACTCATTTGCAATCCACCACTTGTTCAGTCAAGTGCCAGAGAGTGACATGTCTAACTCTCCTGGCACGTTGCCAGTGCAGGAAAGCTAACAACAATGCATGCTTGCGTTCTTACAAGTAGTTCCACGTCCTCACGAGCTTGGTCGCTGCAAGCTACTGCTACCTAGGCACACAGCACAGAGCGCAGAGCATGGCGCGGCGAGCTGGAGCAGGACTCCGACTCATGGTGCTGCTACTGCTCTTGCCACTGGGCGCACTGGCGGTGGCGGCCGCAGGCACCGACCGGGATGTGCTGCCGGCGTTCAAGGCTGGGCTGTCGGACCCGACGGGCAAGCTCCTGTGGTGGAACGACACGGTGCATTTCTGCCGGTGGCCTGGCGTGAGCTGCACCTCGGGCCGCGTCACGTCGCTGGACGTGTCCGGGCACGGCGTCACGGGGACGCTATCCCCGGCCGTCGGCGACCTCACGCACCTCAAGGTCTTGAACCTCACCGACAACGGCATCTCCGGGACGATCCCGGCGAGCCTCGGCCGGCTCCAGCGGCTCTCGTACCTCAGCCTCTGCGACAACGCGTTCACGAGCGGGATACCCGACGCGATCCGCAACTGCAGCGTGTTAGATTGATCTCTAACCTACCTGGACCCAACGGCCTAGTTGGGCCTTTGATTCGCGCCCTGATCGGGGGCGCCCAGCCCACCATGGCTAGAGGGCCCCTGTCACCCTGCGCTATAAAAAGAGATGGGGGCCGGCGGCTCTTATCACGAGGTTGACCTGAGCCGACCTCTCCACCGACACTCAAACCCTAATCCGATCAAGAGGGGCGCAGCCAGTGACGGGAAGCCACCAGCCGCGCCGCCCCGCTCTGACGATGGCAACTACATCGACATCTTCCCCGACCATCGCTGCTCGTGCACAGACTGCATCGACGAACCTGATGGAGGCCACTGGATCTTCCACCCCTGCGGTCTCAGGTTCGAACTCCTATCTCTCTGTCTAGATGTACTAGGGCTTGTTAGGATCTACTGCTTCACCTTTTATACCGAATAGGACAAGTCTATGGCTAGATCTATGATCCTACAGTTGCAACAATGGTACCAGAGCCTCGTTTAGGAATAGATCTAGCTTATCAAAAAGGAAATCCAGTGCGGATCTAAAAAGAAGAAGGGGGCTTTGGCCGACAAAGGGTTCGGTTGAACCCTAACTTTGATCCTTTCGGATCTAAGAAAAGAAAAGGGTTCGGATGAACCCTAACCCTAACTGGGTTAAAGAAGCAAGGCTCGTTTTCATATCAAAATCGAACTCTAAAACCCGAAATAAATTCGGGAAAAAGAAAACAATGAAACCCCATCCCCAAACCCTATCCCTAACCCTCAAATCGGATGAAATCCGATCACAAGAACCAAAGAAACCAAAAGGGGAAGAGGGGAAAGGGGTGGCTTACCTCACCGCTGTGCAGCGTTGCTGTCACGCTGACGCGCGGGGAAAAGAAAGGGCCGACCGGGGGCACTG